CTTCTCAAAACACTTTAGAAAAGTGGTCACTTGTTTCCCCTTTCCTCCAGTGTACTCTCAGAGCTGCACAGAGTAAAATAGTAGATGAGCAAGGGTCAAAATTAAACTATAGCCCATGGCTACTCAATTTGTGATTAGGCAGGAACCAGATGAAAAGACATGCTGGCAACTAATACTCAGCAGAGCTATATAAAAGAGCAAGAAATCAGATCAATAAAAATATTCAGACTACTGAAATAATTCAATCCTAAAACTCATTTTAAGGTTTACAAACTACAAGTGGAGTCTAAGGTAGATTCATTATCCTTCAAATTTTATTCTTTAATTTTCTTTCTTTTCTTTTTCTTTCCTTCCCTTCCTTCCTTCCTCCCTCCCTCTCTCTTTTTTTTTTTTTTTTTTTTTTTTTTTTTAAAAAAAAAAGGTCTCATGCAGGTTAGGCTGGCCTTGAACTTACTCCACATCCAAAGAAGACCACGAGCTCCAGATCTCCTAGCTCTACCTCCCAAGTGCTGGGATCACAGCTAATGCCTCCACACCGAGCTCAAGAATTTCACTGTTTTACCTCCAGCATTTGGGAACACCCAACTACAAGTTCTACTAGTCAATATATTGAGACAGAATTGAAAGAAAAGTTTTTATTAATGCTAAATGTTTCTCCTACTGTCCATTGTATGTACAAAAATCACTGCTCCTAAGACTGACATCACTTCTAAATATACTAAGAAAACATCCTATAACTATCTTAAAATTCCCCTAGACAAACATACTTCCTATCACTGGGGATGGGGGCAACTTTTAAAAAGTAGGACCCATGAAAACTCTATGTTCTTTTAGAGCTGATTAAAAAAAAAAAAAAAAAGATTTTAACATTTTTATCTGAAAAGCAAGCAAAACTTAAGGGTCTTTGTTTTTGTTTTGCTCTAGTGGATCCATAATAATGAGGATATAGACAAGTGAAATAATTTTCTTTAAGAAATGTGTAACTAAGAAAAAATAGCAACAACCTTTCACTTTCAGAAGAAAAATTGCCAAATATTTTTTTTTCTTTTTAATAGTAATCTAAAGTAGATAAAGACTCAATCAAATCCAACAACCTTGAAGCTGAATGTTTTTAGAACTTAAATCTTTTTCCCAACTTCAAAAGCAATGACTAATAATACCCCACAGGATCCAGGCCAGTAAACAGTTTTCAAACAAGTAAATATTTCTGGTGCAAGATATGATTACTTGAAAAAGAATCTTATTTTTCTTTGGATCCAGAGCATCTAGCAAAGAAGTTAATTTCAGATCAGATTTTGTGGCCAATTTATGCTTTTGGAACTTTGTGGATTTTGAGTAAAAAAGCATGGACTCCAACTGATATGTGTTAAGCTGGCCAAATATCTTAACTCTACTCTGGGCTTAACCATCAATTGGTCTTACCAATCAATATAAACATTGTTATATAACTCCTAAAATTCCATTATCTTCTACTCTCCTAAGAATCTGTTTATCAGCCAGGTGAGGTGGCCCATGCCTATAATCCCAGCACTCAGGGAAGCAGAGGCAGGCAGATCTCTGTAAACTCAAGGCCAGCCTGGTCTACAAAGCAAGTCCAGGGCAGTCAAGGCTACACAGAGAAATCTTGTCTCAAAAACAAAACAAAACAAAACAAAAAAAAATCTGTGTATGCCAGAGCTCAGTCAGCGCAGTATGAATTTAATTAGGAGAATTTCATATGTTGTATATTTTCTAGCAATTCCTAATTCATAAAGATCAGGAACTTACCCAACTTATTTTGTAGCACGTTAATCTATTTAATAGCTATTTATAACAATGTCAGCTGGTCAAATGTTTAAAGTATTTGCTGAATTAAATACATAGGCATCATCCTAACTAAATCTACATTTCTGTATGAAATCGCTGTCAAATAAAGCATATTAGAAAGAATTTGGGAATGGCTTAACAAAAGTCTGTGTTAATTGCAAGAGGAATCACCTCTGGATTAGTTCCAAGTTAGAAGTTGACAGTGAGTTTGTACATTTTCCATTTTCTTGATCAATTTCAGCACTTTTTTTTTTTTTTTTTTTTTAGTGATATGACAGTTTCTAGATCTAAGTTGTTATTTTCCCCATTACCCTCTTCTCCAAGTTCTCTGGTCGCCTTCAACATTTGATCTCTTTTTCTTTAACAGGTAAGTACACTGAATTCTGGGAGTAAAATAAAACAATATCTTTTCTCTTAAAAAAATGAAACAAAGCAACAGTCATACAACAGTATCTGCCATCCCTTAACATTTTTAAGCTTCATAACAGCTATGAAAATCACATTTAAATTGCTCTCTATAATAGGATACATATTATAATAGCTTAATTCATAATTCTAAAGATAATCAAATATTTATTCTTTTATGGTGGGATAAAACACTTTAATATTTGTTAATTAAATTTACTAAGATTACTAAATTCTCCTTATACTAGTTCTAGTTAAAATAGTTTTTTAATGTTCATAAAGTATGTGTATAACTGAGCATTGTTGGATTTGCATCTAGCTTAAACAGATACATAAAATTCTAGACTCTGGCAATAGAAACTGAGTAGCTGTACAAAAAAAAAAAAAACAACAACAACAAAAAAACAAACCTCTCCACTCCCTTGTCTCTTGCTGTTTTATACTTTGGGGGAAAGGGGAGAAATTTATATTTGAAAATGAATTAGAAAGTTTTGACAATAACATACTACAAGAATATGTCCTCTTGGAGTTCAAGGAATCAAATTGTAAGCTATAATACTTACATACTTTATGATATTATACTAGTCAGTTAACTTTATATCTGTTTCCTCATGTATGAATACAGGAAAAAAATACCTAGCATACCAAACTGTTAATGAGAATTTTTGTTTTAAGATATGGTCTCTCCTGTGTAGGCCAGGCTAGCGTTGAATTCACAACCTTCCTACCTGTGATGGGTAACATTAACTATTTACAGAGTTAATGCAGTATTGACAATTAACAGTGATTTTAATGACTCTAAACACAGACTGTCTTATCACAGATTTAAAAATATAATAAATTTATACTTTTACATTCATTGAAATACCATGAATTAAAATAATCAGCATCTGTATTCTTTGTAATAATCATTATGTATCTAAAAGTCTAATGTCTGTAAACTATTAAAATACCTAAAAGAAAACAAAACTCTGCAGTTTGCATGTGTGGTTAGTATTCAGAATATCTGATAACCAAGATGTCTAATTTCTTAATCATATAAAATAGCCCATCAAGCATCTTTTTTTCCTTTAAGATTTATTTATTTATTATTTATACAGTATTCTGCCTGCATGTGTGCCTGTATGCCAGAAGAGGACACCAGATCTCATAATAGATGGTTATGAGCCACCATGTGGTTGCTGGGAATTGAACTCAGGACCTTTCCAAGAGCAGCTAGTTCTCTTAACCTCTCAGTTATCTCTCTAGCCTCCATCAAACATCTTATTAGCAATAAAGCACTTCCTTAATAGACACATAGATAGGCCAATGGAATAGAATAGAACACAAAAACAAACCCATAAGATATAGCCACCTGATTTTGACAAAATAAACCAAAAGCGTACACCAGAGAAAAGGCAGTCTCTTTCATAGTATGACAGAAACTGAATATCCATCTGTAGAACAATAAAAGTTGATTCATTTCCCTCACCCTTTACAAAAGCAGATGTAAATCACTTTAAGGCATAAGAATAGGCAGACTTTCTGAAAAGTTTTCCAGTAGCTCACTCAATGAAACCAAGAGCTAATGAGCAGGACTGCACGAAGTTATGAAGCTTCTGTACAACAAAGCCATCAACAGAGTAAAGAGCCTATAAAATGGTAGAAAATCTTTACTAGCTGTATGTCCACCAGAGGATTAATACAAAAAAACAAGCACACACAAACAATAATGATAACATAATCAATAAACATTCAAATGAGTTGAACCCAAAATTCTCAAAAGTACAAATGGCCAAAAATATTAAAAACAGTTCAGCAGCCTTAGCTATCAGGGAAACACAAACTGAAACTTTCCAAGGAGTCTATTTTATCCCAGTCAGAATGGCTGTAAGCAAGAAAACAAACACCTGAGGCTGAGGAGCATGCACAAAGGGAAGAATCCTTATACTCTTATAATGGGATATGAATTAGTGGGGCCACTACGAAAAGCCATATGATTTCTCAGCAGACTGAAAATAGCTATGCCACTATAGCTATACCAACCTATACCACTCCTGGGTACACATATACAAAGGAATATAAGTCAGCATATCACAGACAAATAAATCACAGATTTATTTCAGCACCATATTATTTTAATTTTAAAAATCACATTTATTTGATATGTGCATATAGCATTTGTAGATGTAAGTGTGCCACACTGTTATGTATGTGTGTGTGTGTGTCAGAAACGAACTACAGGAATCGATTCTCTCCTTCCACCTTGCCAAACCCAGGGACTGAATTCAGTTCATCAGGCTCAGCTTGGCAGTAAGCACCTTTACCCATGCAGCCATCTCACTGGCTCTATCTTAACACTATTTGCAATAGCCAAGTTGAGGAATCAGCTCAGATGTCCAACAACATATAAACAGAGAATGAAATGTGCTGTACACATATACAGTGTAGTTTTGTTTATTCATAAAGAACAATTGTGTGTCATACTAGAAAATCAGACTGAACTGGGAATTATCATGTAAAGCAAAATACGTCAAACTTGGGAAGATAACTATTGCATGCTTTCTTTTAGACAGAATCTAGCTTTAAAAAAAGAAGACATCAGAGTATAAGGGGCACTATTTGAGAGGAGAAAGGTGACCAGCAAGACAGCAAAGGAGGGATAAAACACGGCAATAAAGCATTGATTATGATCAAAGTATAAAATATACATGTATATATAATTAAATGTTATAATTAAAATAGGAATACATATTTTAAAGAACACTTGGCTCAGTATACAAGTAAACCAAATACTGTATAAAGCTTACCTGTCTTCATCTTTTTCATAGAGTTGGTAATAATCTCCACAGCCATTCCAAAAGGAATTATCCTGAGCGTCTTGCCTTCCTGAAGCTGTGGCTCCATCTTCTGATGTTACATGATTAGATTCAGTTTCCCCTTGAGTAACTCTTGAGTAAGGTGGGGTCAAGAACATGCACTCGTGTTCTCCATCATATTCTTCACACTTTATTATAGGGTCATCTGAACTACATTCCTCAACTTCTAAAGCCTCTCTCCATCTCTGAACACTTCTTTGTTTAGCCTCATGCCTATTAAAACCTATTTCTTGGTCCACCTGGCTTGAACTTATCACTTTTCTAACTTTGGGCCTTACTACCTGTTCAGGAGAACTTCCATGGTGGTTGGCTCTATCACTAGTATTTTGTTCACTACAAATATGCCCTGGAACACAGTCTGCATGTTCAGTTGAATTTTCTGTCTGGATTCCCTGATCAGTATCCTCTTGTTGCCTCTTTCTAACAATGTCATCTTCAGATCTCTGAAATTCCTGCCCATTTGAATGGACAAGCTCAGCATTACCAGCAGAATTTTCCTCTGAAGGTGCTGAATCTAGCTCTTCAAACTCATCACTAATTTCACAGTTGAGAGAGGGAACTGACGGTGACAGGTCAGTGTACACCTCTGCCTCTCCATTTTCCAGCTCAAATACTGTATTGCCCAATACTTCCTGACATCTACCACCTTCCACAGTTTCTGCAGAAAGGTGAAGAGAATCACTCTTATCATGTTTGCTGTCTGGACCATAAGAGTCAGTTTGGACTAACACAATCCCATCTTGGACAGGCGAGACATGACAAAGTGCTGGAGTAATCTGTGTCTCAGCGTGGTTGAGAAGTTTCATATTGCTCTCTAAGGTTTCCCTAACCCCCTCACTGTGACACCCTGCGGCCATGGATGGACTGCTCTCAGTGCTCTGGGGCAGTGCTGGGTCACAAGTAAGAGCTTGTGTTTCACTGTTTTCAAATGCAGGTTCACTGAGGAGGGAAGGATGGACTTGATCCAATGAATTGGAACCTTCATAAAAAGAACAGGAGAAAACATTTTGGACGGATTAATTTAGATAAAATTGTATATAATACCTGTTCAATGGAAATCTATCTGAAAATATGACAAGGGCTTCTATATTCCCAAATTTACGGCAGTCTAACTAGCTACAGTGAGAACTCAGTTCTGCTCCTGGAGAGGTTCTCATTACCCTCTCCCTTGTGTTTCTTTTGTAATTAAAGAAAACAAAAAAACCCAAAAAAACTTAAGTCCCAATATCAAAATCTTCTCTACAAAAAAAAAAAAAAAAAAAAAGGGGGGGGGCTAATAAGAAGCTATACAGTGAGAAACACAAGCAGTCAGAAAACAATCTGCCATTCAACAACTCTCCAAATCTACCTTTTATTTACAAAATAAAAAAACAAAAAAGGAAACATGACAGATATAATGCTCACACCAGATAACAGAGCTATGAGAAAGGAGATTCTAATTGTATTTTGATGTTAATTTAAAATTTACATCTTAGATTCTAGACATATATCATATTTCTATACCCAAGATGTATTGTTATAATACATTTGTAATTTAGGTATTTAAAGATACACCCGAAAACTCTATACTTTTGTCATAATTCTTATACTTGAAGAAGAAAATTAAATCTATAATAACTTTAAACTGACTATTTTTCATTATCATTAATCTCAAAGATATTAAGATTTGTTGTAACAAAATAAATACACCATAAAATAACTGAAATTTAATCTTATGACAGAAAATCATCTTTATGGAAAGACTTAGCTAGCAACATAGATTCTGACATACAAATGACAATGAAAATATTCTAGAATATCCAGTTTGCTTAGATCCAGAAAAATGAAACCAGAATATATTATATATAAATATGTAACTATCATACAAAAAAATCTGTATATAACATCTCAAACCACTGACTAAGAACATTTAATTGAAAAACTATTACCAGTTATCTTGATCTTTATATTTTATAAAATATTGGAAAAATAAACTAGCTAAGCTAAATTATTTAGAGGAAGCTAAAAGAAAAGTTTCTTACATATAGTGTGCAGGAAAGAAACACTCTCAGTTCACATTTAAAAGACTTGGCATAGTCTGTTTCCCACAGTAAACTACTGAGAACAAAACCCTAAATGCCCCTAAGTCTTGTAACTCAGCAAGGCTCATGGGAGGAAAATAATGTTCGGTCATATTCTGCTCTAAAGGTAAATCACATGAGGAGTTAGCTGTGTACTCATTACTATGACAATTAGTTATAGTTTAGTGACTGAATCTTCTTCTATATTTAATGTATATGTTACTGCTATTATATTCAATAAAAATTTCAAAGTAGAAAAAATGTACTGTTTATACTCAAAAACATAACTTTTACAATAACAAACCTTTAAGTGACAACATGTTACATACCTGAGTTTTCCTTTGGAACATCATCTAGTTCCAATACTTCATAGTCATCGCCAGCCCTACCTAAGCTTCTTTCATGTCTGGTCATACATGGCTTAAAACTGACATATGCATGTCTTCTTCCATATCTCCTGCCTGTAATAGTCTGATATCCTCCTGCTGGTTTAGGCCAAGCAGCCTTGTTGGATTCTTGATCCATTACTGAAAACAAAATGAAATGAAATTAAGTTAAATTAAAGTGTTTCAACAAATACGCTATTATTAAGTAAACTATATACCACTGAATAATGAGCCTTGTTTAAATGGTGTATGGATGACAATAAACAACTAAATAGTTATGTCCTCGAGTGTAGGGCCAGATAAAATTCTCTAAAAGGAAACAATCATAGAAGTCAAACCCTATTTGACTTCTATTCTATTTTAAATTATAAATGGATAGCATACATTAAGAATAGCTACCAGCATTTAAACTTGGATATTAATTAATCCTCTACTATATATTCATATATATTAAACTCGCTGAGTCAATTATTATATATTCTATGTAAGAATAGAATATTCCTTCACAGTACATAGTATGATTAATAACTGAATGCTTTCTATTTTTGTTTTGCATTAAACAATTAAAGTATAAATGATGAACTTGTTTGTATTTCTCAAATGTTATCAAATGCTACACTATTTTATTTAATCCCCTTAACAACCTTAATAAATAAATACTATCGATTTTAAAAATAAAAATAAATGTTAAGTCAAGCACGAAGATGTGTACCCCTAACACCAGCCTTAAGACAAGGAGATAGTAAACTGAAGGACAGCCTAAGCTACACAGTTGATACATTGTTACAAAAATAAAAAATAAAGAAAGAAAGAAAAGAAAAAAAGAGCATTTAATCATTTGTCTCAACAGTATAAGAACCATCCTCTTTTACTACTATTCTAAAAGAATATCCTCCAACATGGAATGTAGGACAGAAATGGAGATAGGGGTATTTTATTGAGTTAGAAATTAATCTTTACAAATATTAAATAGCTACAGATGACTTAAAATGAGTCTTTACATAAGATCACTATCAGAAGATAACAAGTCACATGTAATACTTTTTTACTTGTTTGATTTGGTTTTTTGAAACAAGGTCTCTCTGTAGCTTTGGCTGTTTTAGACCTCTCTAAACAGACCAGACTGGCATTGAACTCAAAACCATCTATGTACCTCTGCCTCCCAAGTGCTGGGATTAAAAGTTTAAAGTACTATGCAAGTACCCAGGGAATAACAAAAGAAGTCCTAATGTAAGCATAAACATCTATCTTCCTTACCTGATGCTTCTTTTTCAGTGTACTGTGACATATATGGCAGCGTCTATGCTCCCAGTTCAGTAGAATTATTGATCTTTGGTTTTTACTTACACAGTGAATAAGCTGCAAATGATTCCTATAAAGAAACAATGCATTGAACAAAGTATTAGTAATAAAAGAATAAAACAAAAATGGTAAAATTGGTAATACTAATGAAGATGTTGGCCTTTTATTCAATTCGAAAAATATAACTTGATCTGCCAAAAACAACAAGTAAACAAAAAAACCCCAATCATAAGCAGAACTTGTAAGCAAATAATTAAGTACATCATTGAAGAACTGACTGGGGAATATGACATTCCTGGTTAGTTTCTGTGTGACTAGACATAAACCTAGACATATCTAAGAAAAAGGAACCTCAATTGAGGAATTTTTTTTACAATGGATTGGCCTGTGGACATATCCAGGAGCATTTTCTTGATGAATGATTTGGCAATGCCACCTCTGGGCAGGTGGTTCTGGATCGCAAACTGAAAAAGCAGTGGAAAGGAAGCCAGCAAGCAGCATTCCTCCATGGTCTCTAATTCAGTTCCTGCCTTGTTTTCCCTCAATGATGGACGGTAACATGTACTCCAAGTAAACCCTTTCCTCCCCCAAGTTGCTTTTAATCATTGTTTTATCACAGCAACAGTGATAAGATAAAATAATCACCTATGTTGGTGTCTATTATACCATGCTATTTTGGATTTTCCATAAATTCATTTAGCTCTTGTTAGCAAAATTCTTGTTAGGTCTAAAAATACAATCTTTACCTTAAAATGTTTAATGGAAAATTGAAATAATTAAAGTATATAAATAATGATGTATTATCAATTATGATTACATAATTTAACCCTATAACCTAGTCTAAACTATAAAGACTACAACTTATCACTCAACAATAAAGCTCATTTTCTTATTTAAAAACTTTTAATATTTAAGCACCCAAACTACCATTAATTTTCTATCATTAACCCAAACTTATTACATAAGCATTCTGCAAGGAGGTGGTTATGCCTGATTACTGTTAGTTAAACAGCAGCACACATCAGAGAGCACACACTTCTACATTCATTCATAAAGACCACAAATTGAGTCACATAGGCTGTGATATTGAGAACTATGTCCATTAGGTCTTCCAACATTTGGGATAAGTCTTTCACTGGGAGAAAAGAAATTCCCTGCTACATTGTTTATCACTACATCAGGATGCACTGCAACTTTTGATCAGCTCCAGCACTGTGGTAGATACCATAACAGGATCTCCCACATCACACCAAATCAAAGGAATATATAACAATCAGAATTTTACCATGCTGTGAAAAAACACAGGTTCTCATTAACATTACTTTCATAAGAAAGTCTGAAATAACTTCACAGAGCACTGTGTAGTACATGGCAATCTTTACAAATTATCATAGCTTTAAGTTCAAATCATGAATACTTTATCCAAGGTCTTCCTGGGAAGGCTATATTCAAACATGTCCCAGGCCCTGTTTTCAGAGCTGAGAATGTAACAACGTAGAAAATGAATGGATGTTTCTGCTGACCTAAAACTACAGAACAAAACACAAATTAAATAAGGAATAAACATATATGATACATCTTTATCCTAAACTTAAAAGGAGAAAAAGTTACTAGAGAGAGCACTTTATTGAAAAGGAATCATTGAAGCAAACAAGTGGAAGAGAAAGGAGACACCAGGAAAGAACATTCTAGGCATAATAAGAGATTATAATGCGAACATCCAAGAAGCAAATCATAGTCTACAATGAGCAAGTGACAGATAGACAATGAGTAAAGTACAGAGGGGTGAAACAGATGACATACATCTTTACAGGCTAATGTGAGACATGTGGACTTTTATTCTGAGAGTAAAGCCAGTGACCAGTCCTGAGCAAAGACACTTAATCTGACTTCTTTTTTAATCTAGCAACTTTGTCAAATAGCCTAAACAGGCAGGAAAAAAAGCCACTGTCAGGGAGCCTGGGTGCAAGGCCAGCAAAATAATAACAGCAGAAGATCATAGTGGTTTAGACTAGGGTAAAAAATGAGTGATGAGCGAGGTACTGGACACACTGTGAACTAGACTCAACATTACTGATTGACACAAGAATAAAAGAAGGCTGGGAGTTCAGATTAACTACATTTTGAAGCCTGGGCAGCTAGTGTTTGCCATTAACTGACAAAGAAAACTCGTGGAAGCAGCTGCAAATATGGAGAATCTTTAGTTTTGGATGTGTTAAGCTCGAGAATGCTACTAAACATTCCAGTTAAAGTGTTAAATATAAGACTAGACTCGACTGGAGAAATCTGAGCAGTTAGTATAATTCTGAGGTTTTTACAGATATTATTAAAAAAGGCATAAACTTGAGTGAGATCACTAAGAGGACAAGGACTGAAACTTGAAGACAAACCAAGAAAAAAAAAAAAAAAAAAAAAAAAAAAAAAAACAGAGGCCAGTGAAAAGCAAAGGAAAACTGAGAATTGTAGATATGGAGAAGTACCTATCAGAGTACGGTTCAAGAATGGAGTTGTGTGAGATTTTTGAGCGCTCTGAGAAAACTCCAAGGAACCAAGACAAGAGTCTTGTAACCTCAGTTTCTTCAAAACCACAGAATTATTCTTAGATTGTTTGTTTGTGCTCCTCCCGGGTATAAACAGGAGTGAGTTTACTTCAGATCATTCATCACAACTGGCTATTGCTATTGGTTTGTATGCCTCTATGGAAAAACTTGTTTTTGTGGCATGCAGCTTACCCTCCAAGGGGGGCTTACCCTTGTGATTGTACACTTTACTCATGTGACTGCTCCTAGCCCTCCAAGTATATCTGATTCTCTGAATGAAGGTAGCTATTACATGAGACTTTAGTTTACCTCACGTATCAGCGCATTCTCCCAGTTCCCGGCACCAAAAGTGTTTAACAAGTGGTGTCATGAATCAGGGACCTGAAGTTAGCTAGGAGACAGGAGAGCAGGGACCCTCGAAGAAGTAGAAAATGGAGCAGAAACCAGGGAAGGCTCTGGCTTACGTAGAACGTGTGTATCATATTTTCAAAAAGAAGGAGCCCAAGTATCAAAAACCATAGCTATTAGATTGCTTGCAAGTTGTTTACAATTATAACTCCTGGTCTCCAGAAGAATGAACTTTAGATAAAGATGTATGAGACACAGCTCAAAAGAATACTGAGAATACATATAAACAAATGGAAAAGATCCTTGTTCAATTGGGTCACTTGGGCATTAATCTGGATTGTTATCAAAATACTTAAGGAAGATAAGTAGGATAGTAATCATGGGGAAGAGATGACTAATTCCTCAAATAAATATAAAATGGATAATAAAACCTTAAAATTAGTAAAAGAGGAAGATTTTCACCATTTAGGAAAAATCAAAAGTGAAAAAGTGTCAACTGATAACTATGCCAGTTACGTCTCCCTCAGTTCCCTTACTGAACCCTCCTTCAAACACGATACTGTATCCTCCATTACTTGAAGATGATCCTGAAGCATGGATGAGGAACTTGACAATCAATCTAATCATAAATTCTCTCTACTTTTTGATGAGGATTTAGGAGAGCCTATGAAAATGCTGTTTAGAAAGTAGGCAAGGTATAGCACAGCAGGGAAAAGGAGTTCATTTCCCAATTCTTCCCTAGCCTCATGATGCACTAACTGATCTATTTAAAACTCTAGAAGGAAAGATGGCACTGGACAGTCCTCAAATATCTTGACAGGCAAGAGAAGAACTACAGCTATCTAAATCCAGATTAAAAGAAGCATTTGAGTACTGGGTGGATCCCTCACTTCCTTTAAACTTACATGTTTCCCCATTTAATTGTCTCCTACAGTATTATAACAAAAGGGGACAAACCTTTGAATGGATTTATTACACCATAAGGGCCTGAAAATAGTAACCCTTTACCTTACTCTTCTTGATTAATTAGTAAATCAGAATGGGGGAGGACCTGATGTCAACAACTATCTGAATTTGATCCTTGTTGTACTGTATCACCTTTAACAACCAGTTTTAAAAGTGTTTTATATAGCTCTATAAATTTTCAAATTTCATTTACAGATTAATATGGGAGGATAGGAAATAATTATCTGGCTGGTAAGCTATGGAATATTCTTATATGAATTGAATTTGTGATTACAAAAACTGTCGAACTTTCTGACATTCCATAGACGGGTACTTACTTTATTGATGGCCCATCTAATGACACAGGTGGGATTCATGATTCAAATACTCACCAACCTGTTAATGCTTCTTTTTCCTCAGCCCAACAGGTGAATTTGGCTGTTTTGATTTATCTGTTACAGTTAATTCATATACCCTTACGTTGTAGGGTATTACCAGCAATAGATATCCCTGGTTTTACTGTACATGGAAATAAGCAAGCTGATGCATTAACCTGTCCTACATTTACTCCTCCAGTAAAAAAAAAAAAAGGGAAAGGTACGCATCTGTCATTGAATCCACTGAAATATTACAGATTCTCTGGGCTGTCAAGGACAGCTGTAGAAGGCAAGAAAACAGTGGAAATCACCAGAAAGATAGAAACCTCCAGCTAAAGGACAAAAGGAGATACTGACCACACCATCAGAAGTCAATTCTGCACACCTGGAACCAAGTTAAGGCCCTATGCATCAAAGGAGAGATTACTCTATGAAACACACAGAGCCCTACCTCAACTGAGAATTTTTTTCTGTTGATGCTGGCTGCTCTGACCTGTACATCTGTGGTGAATGCCTTTGAGCACATGTGTTGGTCTTACGTTACTCATCCTCTTCTGTTTCAATGCAGACTGGATGGATCCAGCTCCTGCAACTTTTATGACCAACTCTGTTTATGACTGGACCTTAGGACTGTAAAAGACTCATCCATTCATCTGAAGAACTGACTGCATTTAATTTTTCCTTAGGATATTTAAATCACTTTCTATTTGTATAGGACATTATAACAATATTTGTATTCCTATTAAAGGGCTATATGGGCTTAGGTTCTAAAAGAGACCTGACCTACTAATCATATGGGTTTCTTTTCAAGCTATTTTCTTAGATCTTTTTGAATTATATAATAAACTAATAAGTAGTAC